ATTCAAGGGTCAACAGAAACCTCAGTAATCGATAATTCATATTTTAACGCAGCAATTTAAGAAATCAAAATTCATGCAAAGTTCATTATGTGCAAAATATCTTAGCTTTATATAAAGACAGGGTCTGTCAGCAGCCGGGCTGTTGGGTTCGGAAGACCGCGACCTCCCAGGAGGAGCATTGGCGGAGGAAGGCGGGACCACTCACGGAGGAGGAGAAAGGAGGGTGGGGGGCGGGGGAGAATGGGTCTGGATTTCGCGCCCCACAGGGTGTCAGGAGAAATCCTTCTGTGCTGGTCTTAGGATCACGCTGCGAGTTTTGCACGCCACTCCAGTGCATGGGCTCTTCTCTGGTCAAGGGGAGATCTGAGGGGCGCTGAGACCCCATCCCTCAAGCTGGGAGCTCTTGCGGGACGAGTAGGGTGGAGGCCCTGAGCGAGCATCCTTTGAGGAGTCTCTGAGGCCCCATGACTGATCTCTGGCCCCAGGCTGGGGATGGGGTGGGGGAGCCTCTTGGTGAAAACCGGGGTTAGGGGAGGCCTGGGATGTGCGAGAGAGAAGGGCACCCCAGCGGCAGGACTTCGCTAGCCAGGTCCGGTGGGGTAACGTCGCAGAACCACGGGCCACAAAGGACCTTTCCCTTCACCACCTGAGGACACGGGCCCTGGAGATGGACACGTCCTTCCCTAGGGACACAAGACATTTCTTTCCTGGGTCCCACGCGGGCGCGAGTTTGAAGTCCAGAACCAAAAGCGCGCACACGCACATGCACACCACGTGGGACCAAAGAGATGACAAGCTCCAGCCGCACCCCTGGAGAAGAGGATCTTTGCCTTGCGCTTAAAGCCGGAACTAGGCGAGGGCGCCGGGAGCGCCAAGGCCCAGGGTCTTCCAGGGTGGGCCCGAAGGCCTGGATGCTGCAGGCCTGTTCTTGGGGCCTGGGCTGGCTGGGCGCTTGAGGGGACCATCTGAGTTCAAGAAAACGCAACCCCGCCAGGGTGTACGTCTGAGCCAAGGCCCGCACTTCTCCCAGGAAAGGCTGGGACTCGCAGCCCTCCAGTCAAGCGATCGAAATCCGAGGCCTCGCCGCGCGCTCCGTTTCCCCGCGCGGGGACGCGCGCTGCTCTCTCCGGGAACGTGCTGCGGCGGCCTCCGAGGGGCTGCGGCCGCCCTCCCCACGCTGCTTCGGGACTTTTCTATTCCGTAAACCGAATTTAGGAATCCCAAAGCACCATTATTGTCGTTTTTAAAGTATTTACCAGAAAGAGAGAAAGGGAGGATGGGGACGGGATCTCGGGCCAAGTTCGCGAGTAGCTGCCCGGGTGCCCAGAAACAGGTCTCTCTTCTCACCTTCTCTCCCGCTGTCACCCTCGGGGGCACGGCGGCGCTCTGGGTCTGGCACCCCTTCCCGCAGCCCTGGCGCGCTCTGGCTCCTGGTGTTGCCCGCGGGTGATCGAGACCAGCCGGCGACGGGTCCCAGCCGCTGTCGGCGGAGGGTTCTGCGTTAGCATTCGTTAAGCGAGGAATCATTGGCCAAAAGCGGGAAGCCAATTACTTCCTGGGCTGGTCTCTGGGACCACTAACTTTCGAGTTACGGAGACTACAAACGAGAATTTGAAAGTGTGTAATGTATAGGGAGACATCTTCCAGTCCTCCAAACTTGGTATAACCAAACTCAGACGTATAACCAAAAGGTTTAATTCTTACGCTCCAAAATTTAAAGGGGTTTAAGGAAAGGCCCCTTATCACCATGTGACTCCACTCCTCGGAGCACCTTCCAAAACTGTCCCTACAGTTAACTCGACAAGCGTGTGCGAGAGATACAGGTCTACAATCGCGAAGCCGCAGTTCGAAATTTAAGTATAATAAAATTCTGTGCTTATGTTTTACATACAGCGGTGTTAAGGTTTGCTATGGCTTAGAGGCTTGTATTGCCCAAGTTATCTCATGAATCCACAGAGCCTTCTTCCAGGTAGGAATAAATTATTGGCCCTATTTTAATGTAGATAGTGAAACTGAGGCTTTGAGATGTTTAGGTAACCTATACAAAGTCTTAAAAGCGCTCTAAAGTCAAGATTCAAAGCCTTCTCCAAGTCGGATTGCGAGTTCCCATATCCCAAAGCGCCACCGCCGGCCGGTCGTCAGCCGGAGCAAGGCCTGGAGGGAAGTGTTAATGTGATTGCTTTGTTCCAACCCCTGTGGTGCCTTTACCTGTTAATCCGCGCTAACACTGAGGTTTTGAAGGGACCTCAGAACCTCAGCGCTCTCCGCTTCGGGACCGCTTCGAATCACCCTTTGACAGCACCTCTCAACCAAGCACTGGTTCCCCGTTTTTATAGCACCATATTGATTCGCAAAGGCAATAAATCTAAGGAACGAGGTGCCCCTAACCCCCCGATAATTATGTTGTAGTGCACATTTTACTGCCACGGTTTCAACACCAGCAAGATGCATAGCTTGTTAGGGATCCCCAAACGGCTCACCTCTCGCGCCCGGATTTGTTTAAAGTGGCCTTTTCAATTCCTCTGGTTTGCCTCCTGCTTCTGCGCTCATTTAGCTTTTTGTGCTTTCTATTTTACCTTTTAATAGGATGAATAGTAGGAGTTCTGCCCACAAGAGACTCAGAATTGGGCTATGGCCCGTCGCAATTGGAAAAGGAAGTGGAAGTTGATTGGGAGCAAGTCAGCTTTCCCCTCCGCGGGCCAATTTTCCCCAAAATACCCATGTCATGAAATTATTCAAATTCCATTCTAAACCATTAGGATAATTACGAAAAGAAACGATGTTTTCTCTGCATAGAAGTGTAATGGCAAGTTTTTAAAATTGAGGTATAATTCCGTAGTTCTTGAAAACTAAAACCAGCAAAAAGATTTTTTGCCACCCCGTTTGAAGCATATATCAAGCTCTGGACCAACCATGACATCACCCTCACTCCGATAAAATGTTAAAAAACAAACAAAAAACCCTTTTGTCAGAAATCTCCCTTTCCGAGACTGGGAGACTGGAAAGGAACCAGTATGCACCTTACATTCAAGAGGGAAATGTCACTGTTGCATTGAGATGGGGTTTGCGCTGGAGGGGTGAAGTGATTTTCAACAACAACAGCGGAGGGTCTGAGTTGTTCCAAAACAGCAAAAAGACCAAAGGCTCAAGAATGGAAGCTGGTCGTTAGGCACACCCGGTTGGCTTAGTCTCTGCTCTTCCTAACGTTTAATCTGAGAGCCTCTGCTCTCAGCCAGCGTTAGCTCTGCTCTCCATCTCCCGCGAACAGCGCAGGCACAACTGCAGGGCCATCGTGTGACCAAGAGGGTGGCCTGGAGTGCCAGTCTGGCGCTGGGGTTTGCCTCTAGCTGGCTGGGGGAACTGGAGAGGAGATGTGCCCCTGCCAAGCCCTCCCTGGTGTTTCCTTCTCAAAAGCAAATGGAGATAGGCTACTGGACAGTGTAAACCTCTTCCAGTAATAAAACCTATGATTTTACGAATTTCCCCCAAATATTTGCACGTACACACTTTGTACCTGGAGACCGATAGCGGAATACCTTTAGTCACCAGCATGCAGCACCTTGTTAGTAACTATTGATACGCATCGACAAGAGTGGCTTAAATCACGACTTTCCCAGATGTCATCATTTCACTTTCATAAAAGTTCTCAGCTTCTGACTTTTTAGCTTTTCCCGGAAGTTTATTCCAGGAGGCTGGGCCCTCAGGGGTGCAGGGAAGGGAGAAAAGTGCTGGTGGGAAATGGAAGCTGTTTTCTCTTTCTTTTAAATGTTAAGACCCACCAAGGGGCTCCTAATCGCCAGACCGACTGGCTTGTAAGGAGCGCAAATATTTACATGTACAATTTGAGTGTGTGTGTCAGCCTGAGTTTACACGGCTGCGAGTGAAGCGGATTACCCTGCGAATTCAGAGAATTTGAGTTATTCAAGCTGAACAGGGCCAACAGGACGACCCCCATAAGGCCGTGGGAAGTCCTGGTCGCAGCTCAGTTTGCGAAGGCAGAAGAGCCCTTGTCTACCAAGCTAAGGCGCTGTAAATCTCGCACTCTCCCACCTCGCGTCGCGTGGTCCCGCAGGGTGCTGCGCCCCCGGCACCGCTCCCGCCCCGCGCCTTCCCTTCGTGGAGGCCCCACTTTCCCGAGTCCCTTTCGGGAACAGGAACCCCGCGTAAGTGACGCTCTGGTGCGTAGCAGAAGCCGTGGTTCTGAGAGCAGCATCCTTTGCCAAACGCTCGAAGCCCTCCCTTGGCATGTCCTTTACTGGGCTGTGTCTCTCCAGTCCCCCGTCAAGCAGACAGATTTATTTTGGAGCCCAACGAGTGCGGGGGACCAGCCCTGGGAGCTGTCTCGCGAATAGGATCTGGTCAGTAGGTGCTGGCTCTGTGGCACCGGTTCCCGCTCTACTTAGAGCTTCCCCACTTTCTTTTGGAACTTTGAGCAACGGGAAGAAAAAGAATGGAAGAAGCAGGAACTCCCCCAGGCTACCGCTGATCTAGGTTCCCGCACTGGGCCACTCCCGGAATCCCGCGTCCTAGCCGCTTCAGAAATACCCGCTCCCGACCGCGCGCTCGTCCCTTCCGCCCTGGGACTTGGAGACGAGGCTAGCTGCATCGGCGGTAGCTAGGCGGTGACACTTTTTTCCGAACGGGAGCCAGGTTTGCGGCGGGTAGCGGCGCGAGGCGGTGCGGGCACCGCGCCCGGGGCGCGCCCTCCCAGCCTGGCCCGCGGCCCCGCCCCCGGCGGCGGAATCAGGAAGCGGTGACGTGAGAAGGAGCTGACTGGCTGCGGGCCGCCGGGATAGCTACCGCCAGCAAATTAAGGCGCCGGGCTGCGAGCGCCCGGGCGCAGTGTCCTCCGCGCCGCGCCGTGCTGCGCACGCCTTCGCTCGCGCTCGTTGGCGTTCGCCCCCTCGCACCGGCGCTCTACCGGTCGCCACCTTCTTGCAGGTTGGGCCGCCCCGGCTGTTTCCGGCGCGCGGAGGGAGAAAGGACGCCGTGGAGGTGCG